GCGCAACTGAGGGGATACTTGACCTCAAAGTCACTGATCCCTCTTGGCAGCTTGACTGGATCTGGGGTTTCGTCCGGTTTAGGGATTTCATTCAGGACGGGGAACTGCGCCGGCCATCATGTGTGTCCATAGAGAGATGCAGGAACACTGGTTTAAAAGCAGATTTGAATAAGGGAATACAAGATTTAAAACAGGTCCATGGGGGACGGTAGGGGAAATCCGTAACGAAACTTCCAGATGGTTCACGGCTAGTGCCGCTTCAGTTGCTAATAGCTTTTCTGCAGAACACAGGACCGGGATAGATGTCGAAGGTAGACGTCAACTTCAACCCTTCTATTAGGAGTCATCACCATTCTCCCATCCGTAGCATATATACTTCTTCCGCCCCACTAAGGCTTATCACGCAGAAGTGGAAAATCAGGATACATGTCTTTCAAGATCGGGTTCGCTTTCCGCTGCCACCAATGTAGCGTCCCGGGACTCCCTGAAGATGAAAGAAGACAATACTCGGGCAGTATATATATATTCAGCACGGAGAAGGTGTCTGGGCTATTGGAATGGCCCAAGAGGCCAGCCCACCCAGCGAGGTACAAGGGGGCTAATTCGAAGTACAAAAAGTGGCGCCTCACCAGAGCCGAGGGATAAACCACTATCGTATTACATAACACCTACATTTAACTAGTAATTTGTTGAGCTAGTTAATCTATAAGCACCATTGAGTCCTGTACCTAGATAACAAGGGTAACATCTTTTTAGAAAAAAACAATAGTTCAGTAGGGGAATTTCACGCTCCAGCTCTTCGTAACTATGAGTAAAGATAGATACATGTTTTTACAAGGAGTACTGCAAGCGATTGCACCAAAAGCTAGACAAATACAACAGCTCTCGTATAATCAAATGGCATCTGAACTCTTACTATCAATGTTTTAAGGGGGATTAGACCGTCAAACCTCAACTGTTTCTTGTTCCAGCATGACACCAACACCTATGCAATAGGACTGACCTCGATCAACCTGTGCGCGATATAATTTGTTATGGTCAATTGCGATAAATAAAGGGTATGCGTTACAGGGTTGTAAAACGGAGCTTGGATATGGAAATTTGGACGGCACACATCTGTGATGCTGATAGCGAATGTGTCAGCCAATCACTATTGTACTAGTTAGAACAACATAGGATTTACAAATTTGTGAAAATCCGTTCTAGATTATTAGTCATATTTATGCTTCAAAAAGTTAATTTTGTAAGTTTGGGGATGTTTTTACGTTGCCGGATTGATAGACAAGTCGTAATTTCCTTTCAATTGACACTATTTTGGCGTAATTGAGAGGATAGGTTTAAACTCGACAATATCATAAAATAAGACTTATCAAGCTAATCAAGGAAGTCTTTTAAATTGCTTCAAAAGTACCTCAATTTGTGGTTTAAAGTTCGAAACGAGTTAGAGAGAGACTTACTTTCCACCAATAAACGCCGCTTTACTTTTTCTGGAATTTTTTAATCGTGAGAAATGGTGCGGTGTTCGTTACACCAGCGTAATGAAAGTAAAACCACTCCTCTTTCCGATTTTTGCAACTGTAATTGTGACATTTTAACTGCCATCGTTCCAAGAAATCCGAATGACAGTTGTTTTGGCATGGTACTGGTCCACTGTCACACCAAAATGCCCCCGAAAGCGTGTCTTCGGAATCGGCTAGAAGTCCAAAAAGAAAATTTTCACCGTTTTAACACCACACATATGCAACTGTCCGCACTTGATGGCTCAGGTATCGGAGCATTTGGTCAGTGAAGTATTTTTCCGAAGTTAAATTTAAGAAATGCGGAGAAAAGGACAAACCGTTCTGCATCGGTTACTGCGGTGAAATCATTTTACTGGCCACTCTCCACCTCTCTCTATCCTATACTTTATCCGCCGCCATCATAGTCACTGCATTTAGAAGATGCAACTTAAAGGAAAGGAATTTTGCCCACTGCTGTGTGAATGGGCTGTCACCGAAAGATGTTTATCTCACGTGCAAAATTAATCCCATACAATCGTCTTTTCCACCGTGCATACTGAAGGATTTCGTGTGTTGAAAAGTACTGTTTCAAGTGAGTGAGATCTAACCAGAAGTGACGTTTTAATTAGCATAGTTTTTTCTCCAAAAATACTTTTAAACTTTTATTCATTTGGGCAAAAGCAAATTAAGCAAAACGCATTGTGAGCTCTAACCTTAATAGATGATCCTTCTTAATAATTTACAGCTTGAACTGGTTTCCTAAGTTCACATCAAAAATATGGTCTGTGATCTTTAACCGTTTCTTTTACCCCTTTCTGTTGTGCACATCTTCCAGTTCATCAGGACCTGCGTAAGCAAACACCATTTATTGCTATAAAAAATGGGAGAAATTCTGGTTTATTTTCCTTTATCTTTATATGCGCTCTAACATTTACTTTACTTCTGCTGATTAAGAAAGTTCCTTCAAGTCTACGTGTAAAAAGTCAATCGGTTTGGAAAAAAAATTAATTTATGCAAAACTAGGCGTACTTTTGTTAGAGATCAGCTAATCTACAGATTCGTGATCGTTCTGGTTTGCCTACGTACTAATACGTATCTTTCATCACCCCTAAGTTTTGGGCGAACACCAAGAGTGATAAAATGAAAACTACTTTAGGCAATGTTTCACCGAGTGTGGATTTGGATTTAAACGACCATTTTGTCCAAAATTATCCCGATTTTTATTTTAGTGAGTTATTGTTAAAACATCTGCTCATTACATTCTCAATTACTATTTTGTAATCTAGCCAATATCATTTCCTCACCTCAGTTTAAAAGAGAAATTATTTCTCATCTATTTATTTGGCTATTGAGTTACCTAGATGGACTGAGATGTAAAGAAATAGTTATTTTTGGCAGGAAATGTGACAACGACATCTGGCAAGTGAGAAGATTTTGACTTCCTTACAGTGTCACTAAGTCCTCGTAATCGGCTTTGTGTCGGTCAATTTATTTCACTACCACCTCCATAATGTATGTGCCGGTCGATGAATGGCTAAATGAAGTTTTTTTGGCACGTAGTGGACGCTAGATGACAATATTACGTGTATCTACGCCTTGGAGAACGTTCTACAGCTATCTCTTAACTTTTCATTTATAATACGTGCAATAAAATCAGATGCCGTAGCGAGGTAGACTAAATAGCAACGCTCCATATAATAGGAAGATCGTTAGAACGCTGCATATCTAGATTTTCTCACTCCCAAACACGAACTATAAAGCTTTTAAATGGGAATTCGCTGGGTACACAAAAGCACAGACAAACACGCCTAACGAGTCGAGATAATGTTTCAAATCATGATTAATGTTTGAGTTTTGCGTGTAGAGCGCTATGATTAACCGATCATCGTGAGCTCATTGCTAAGTAAAACCACAACTGACGATAGTTCGTCTCGTGTTGTTTTTTTTTTTAAATACAACCTCACTTCTCCAGCCCAATGGACTCATTTCCGAGCTCTGCGTTAATAAATAAGAGATATGTTGCTTCCACCTCATTCAAGTGCTTGTTTGAGGGTGTAATAATTTGACAAGAATCAGAAACAGCAAAAGAGGAGTAGAGGGTGAATATATTCAGTGAGTAAAAGAAAGGGAATTTTTGAGTTCACCGTCCGAATCGCGTGCGCTGAAAGTATGTCATGCAATGGCTACGAAGTAGCTAATTTCCGGCCACTCTTGAGTAAGTCCTGTCACTAAAAAAGCTTTGACCTAATCTTGCTTTCCATTTGGTAAAATCTGAATAACGCGGCTTCTTTTAAACTCAAATGTCTTTGCAAATTAAGTTAAAATCAGCTCCAGACTATGAAACTTTCAATAGTAGATGTCTGGTAATAATAAATTCTTGAATTCTAAAGGCAGCATTTCTGAACGACCTTTGCCATTTGCTCACCTGAAAGTTCAACAAATGAAAATTCAGGTTTAATCCATGAATATTTTTCCTTTTACAGAGAGTTAACCTCATTGCGTATGACTTAAGCGAAGTTGTGTGGAAAAAATGGAATTTCTATTTTAATGCGATGATTTTGAATTAATTACGGAACAGTTATATTTCATATCACGGGACCTACTTCGTTTACTTTCAAGACTGCGATAAATCACCATAATTTCCGGGGCCAGCTAAAGAAGATCCTATTTTTTTCCTCTCACGGAAAAGGTCGTGCACTAAAGGTTACTAAATTTCGAAATACTTAAGAAGTATAGAGTGGTTGTCATCGTTTCAACTTAAAGTAAAACTTCAAGGGTATAACCGAACAAGTCCGGCGTCTACCACAACCCTAGCAAATACTGAAAGCGAGTTCGAGTTTAAAGAATTCGTGGCTAATTCTTTGTCGTTTGGTCGTCATGCTAATTATTAAATATTATTTAACAAATGAGATAGAACATTGAATGTGTTCGTGACGACCTTGTGTTTCACGACCCAAGCCTTCGCAGAATCTATCAATAACCCCAAATTAAAGCAAAAAAACCTTATCAGCCACTACCAGATGAGTAAGATTATATGGACCATGAGTGATCTCAATTTTAATTTTAATTAATATTGACGCCAGTGGAGAATCCAACGCCGAAGTTGGAAAAGGTAACCTGTTCTTGTTGACCAAACCGCCTAGTGAGGACCCGGGGATTGCAGCTCCATGCTTAAAATAGGAAGACGGACTCCTGCCATTTGCATTTAAAAGAAATTTGTATTACTGCTGGTCAGATATTGTCAAGAATATCATGCTGAGCTTTATCAGCAACAATTTAGGCAAATCAGCGATAATGTCCAAGATTTTAATGCCCACGGGGACCGATAAGAGCCCTGATTCGCCGTCTACTCATGGTATCAAAAGCTGTGCACACAAACCCCCGTGATATCAATAAATACCACCAATTACATAAAATTAAAGTTTCGCCTCGAATAAATGACGCACTTGCTATATATAAATGCAGTATTAAATAAATATGCTTTACCTTGTCTTTCAACGATAAGAATAAAAGTGGTTCGAGTTTGAATTTCAAATTTTTCAAGCATAGTAATGATAGTAATAGTGTTTATCAATCTTTACAGTGAAGTGCAAACAAAGGAGCCTTTCTTTAGTATTGCTGGCAAAGGAAACCATAATTGTAATCGCTATCTAGCTACCTTAAGTGTAAGAGGAAATTATGCGGATCATCTTACCCTGGATTTCTAGTGGTATTCCTATAACCAAACAATGCTTAATTCACATATCGCAATTAGTTTGGTGTGGGTACGCGATTAACCAAAACTGCAGTCAACACGTCATTTTCATCACCGATACTCCCCCACTTACTTCTGCCCCGGGTTTTGCGTTCCCTACCCGATTAAGGTATCGATACTAAGCAGCTTGAGCCCCTCCGATTAGGCATAAATATATATTTACTTTTCCATTCAAGATGGTTGGAGCTTGAAACTCGTGCAGATAGTGATACGCATCGCTGCCATAAGATAAACAGACTGCAATCTACAATGGATAAAAGGCGAATTTATGAGCTACCTTTATTCGGTTGTTTAATCATCCCCCTGCTTATCAGATTTATCACACGAGACATCGGGACGAACCTATCTCACTCATTAACACAAAGTTCGCGAGTATTTTAAGCAGCCTTTAACCGAGGCATCTAAGGGTGTACTTTAGCAACCATCGTGAACGCCAATGTCTTCACACTACAAACCAGACGGCTTCCCTGTGTGGAAACGCGTTATCAGTCTGACACGCCCCTGACAGTAAAAGGTTATTTTCCTTTCAAAAAACACTCTACGACACGTTCTTCTCTTTCCTCTCCTCTTTTCCCAAGCGCACACGCACATACACACATGCATACACAGAGGAGACTTTAAGGTGGTAAAAGTAATGCAGGATATACTTCCCGATGCAAAGCTGACATAAGAAAAGTGGATGAGAGGATTCAGTCGCGTTCGTGTGCGTGTCTGCGTTGATGGTGATGGTGTAGCACGCACACACTCCCACAAGCACACGGTGTTACTGCCTCTTGCATAAATTTATACTTATTGCATAGGTATAAATATCCTAGAATAGCATTAGTGAGTGAGGAAGAGGCTGAGTGACGCGTGCATGTGGAAAGGAAAGGGCAGAGAATGGAGGAGGGAAAAGAAGCTGAGGCACCTTACTGTCGCAAGTTGTCGGGATTGCATAGAATATAGTGTGGATAAATAAGGCGGGAAGGTGGGCTGGCAGACGGGAAAATAAAACTGTACACAGCAATGTCCAACTACTACTATAGGGGGTAGAGAGAGGAGGGAGAGAGGAATTGGAGCTTCATGTCTATCTTCAGGGCGGCAAGAAGCAGAGCCAGAGGGAAACACAAATGGCGAAAATTGGAAAGACTCGGTGAACACACGTCCAGTGCTGGAGAGCCCATTAATCGGCGCTATCGCCTCCGAATGCATCGATGGTGAGGTTCATTTTCGAGTGTTGATGCTGTTGATGCTGGACCATTGTCTGCATCTGTTGTTGTTGCGACTGCTGGTGTTCCCTTTGCAGAGTTGTTTGATCCGAAGCCACCTGGGATAATTCCATAGCCCTTGGGATGTCGTATTCATGACTACCAGCTCCAGAATAAGATGATCCCGGTGGCGCCGGCCACTGGGAAATCGGCTGTATGCTCTGCATTCCAGGAACTGTCATACTCGGCTGAAGCAAAGGCGTTGCGGCAGAAATGGGCATGAGCTGGGCAGAAGTGGGGCTTGTTATGAGAGAGGCTGTGGGAGGTATATGTGTGGGGTAGGTAACACCGGAGGCTGAGGCGAGGTAATGATTGTACAATGGGTAAGCGGCGGCGATTCCGTCACATCCCATCGACTGAAGGCCGCCATTACTGTTGCTTCCGGCCGTCCGCGTGGTGATATTCCCAACACCCACCAGCGCATCGGTTTGCTTCGAGGCAGGAGCATCGTACGTCGCAGGCCTCCCGCCAATCTCCTTTGAGGGGTGGTTGAAAATCGCCCTGTGCTTTAACAGCATCATACACCTTGATCCGACCAGGAGGACGACCAGAGTTACCAAGAACGTTCCAATCACAGCTCCAATCATCTCTAACAAGGTGTATTGCTTTTGGAAGAGGAAGCTTGAATGCCCGTAGGCCATATTGCCTGTCAAGGAGGCGAGATCACCCTCTCTTGCCCTTTCGTCCAGCTGGGATGTTTTTTCATTGGCAGCTCCGAAGGTAGATTCCTTGGATGAGCCCTTGGATTTAATGAGAGGTGGAAGCATAGGACCACGAATGGTGACAAGAACCTCCTGATCATTTGCCTTCTCATCCCAAGTGATGCAGGAGAATTTGCGACCAATTTGTGAGAGCGAGACGTTGAGCTGCACAGTGGTCATCGTCTTCTCTTCCGTACCCGCACCAAAGTTGGGATGATCAAGGGATTGTGGCAGATCCGAGGGCATCCCTGTGACCTGACGCAGTTGACCCGATTCCACATATTTCCACGCTACCGATGGAGGTCGAAGTTGGACTACTGGATGATTTATCAGGGATTCACTCTCGCCATGACGAAAAGTGCTGAGTTGCTGTTCAGCAGTGTCCATGCGATTGAAGGTAATTGCAGTACAACTGAGAGTGGCTGCTTTTCCAGCAGGGGTTATATCTACACCGATAGATTGGATCCTGGAGCCCATGCAAAGGTGATCTGTGGTGAGTTCCTTCAACTCCACTTTTGAAAGGGATCCACTGATTCGCGGATCGATAATGCAGGCGGTTTTGAGGGAGGGTGACTTACTCACCCACTCCTTTACCCGACTCACCAACCAGGCCAGTTTACACGAACACTCCAAGGGGTTGTCGGTTAGGTCAATGAGACGATTTGGGTTATCGAAGTAGTCCGCAAATTTTGCATCCAATTGACGTATCCGATTGTTAGAAAGAATCAGTTCCTCCAGGCCATCAACTTTGGAAAAGAGGGAGTAGGATATGTCAGAGATGAAGTTCCGACGCAGGTCTATCCGCGCGGCTGAAAGGCCATAGAAGGCCTCGGTGGAAATCACCAACGGTTCTGGATCTGCCGAGGGCCCGTAGAGTATATGAGAGTCTGGTTGCAGCCGCTGTTTCTGCAGATATAACGTCTGTAAGTTCAGACCATAGAAAGTGTGCGGTTCAATTCGATAGAGAAGGTTTAGGGAGAGATCTAGGTCCCGTAGATTGGTCATTCCAAGGAAAGCTCGTGACTGAACCGAGCGGAGTTGCGAATTGACAATCCGGAGACTGACTAAGTGTGCCAGGCCCGTGAGATTCTTGGCACTCAGATGCCCAGGATCTGGAAAGAAACCACCCTGAATTACGAGTTTCTGCGTCCCCGGTGGCAGGTTTGTGGGCACACCGATAATGCGATCTTGGGGGCTGCAGTCCACAACGGCTTCGTTGCGAGAACAGTAACAGACGCCATCACAGAGATGCGGTTCAATATACTGTCCGAAAGAGGAGGGGAGTAGGAAGATATAGACCACAGTGAACAGGATGAAGGCTACTGCCGAAATATTCATCATGTTCAGATTAATTTACTTAATTACAGATTATCTACAAGAGAGAAAAACAAACAAGTTTAGTCTATTAAGAAGTTACAATGAATTTTTAAGAACAGAACGTTGATTGCTGGTCGTGCTTCCGATTGGTGTTTTAAAAAACAGTAGTCAATGGTAAAAACCAAATGATCAAGAATTCTGTTATTACTGGTACTACTGATCTTGAAGTGATGAAAACGAGGCAGAAACGAAGGAAATAGGGTCATATATGCATACACACCAGCGTTGTAGATACTTGCCCTGGGAACACGAAACAAACTTGAATAAACATGCCCACACAACCCCATGACCTGAGCTCGTCAAAGGACCATGCGGATATATGCGTGTGTATGCGTTGCAAGATGTTTAAGCGCGATGAGAGCAAGATATGCGAAAGAACGCCACGACAAATAAACGATAAATCATCGAAACTGCTCTATTATGTGAAGGAAAAGAAAAACCCAACTGTGAAGACGAAAGCATACTTCTCTTCGGAGTTAACATCGCCTGAAGATTGTGAGAAGTGGTGCGCATAATCTCGGCGCACAAAAATGAGTCTAGGACTTATCCAGGCTGTCAACGATCTGCAAGGGCATCGTACGTCCATGAACCAGTTTTTGAACAGAACATTTTAAGTGCATTGATAGGGCAAACTAAGTAGAAAACAAGCGCAGGGTAGGCACCAATAGTAGAATGCGCTAACAGAAAGCCGCTGAATTAAAAGACTTCGGCGATTGCTGTTTCTGCGGATTTCACCAGGTAAAATCACTTTTTAAAAACCGTATTAATACACTGGGATAAAACGTTGAAACGAAAATGTTTGCAGTCAAAAAGGGATTATGAAAGCCGTAATTTATCGGGTTTTAAAAACTTTTCGTTCTCTTTAGAAGCAGACTTCTCAAATTGAGATAGACAAGGGTAAACGTTTGTCAAGTCAGACAATCCAGCCCCTAGATGTGTACCAAAGTCAAGCCCACCCATTGGATGACAGGTCGCAAATCTCTACAGAAGGTGATACCCGTGGTTGAGGTTTGGATTTTCGCTCTGGACGTTGAGAAAGCACCTGGAGTACTTTCCGTGCAATGAGTCTCTTCCTTACAACTGCATTTCTCTTTCGCATGATTTATAAGCGCATTGAAGAAGCGTGCAATATTTTAGCCCAGACGTCTGGCACAGGGGAGGAAGGCGTACTAGACTAAAGGGAATGTGTTAATTTTTTACATCTGCGAAATGCTAGTTCCTAGAAAAGATGGTACATGGGTCTTAATGAAAGGTCAGCGGGTGCGATGTCACAGTGATGATGGACTTCAGTCTGCTTCTCCTCAATGGATTCTGTCAGAAAAGAGACACTGGCTGCGTTTCTATCCCTAAAAAAACATGCACACGTGTGCACGCTCAACAGAGAGTACAAAAAAGTAGACGGCCGCTACTATTTTAGTGATTAATTTTTAAGTAGCCTCTCTATGCAGCCCTGAAATTAAACTGAAGGGAGAAGGGAGAGAGGAGAGGAAGAAGCGATGACGAGAGGCATAGCTGCTACTCCTGCAGCCTCCTGACAACCTTCCTCTTTCTCACTAACTTTCCCCCTAGCACACGCACTCTCACCTCCCAGTCTCGGTCTGTCAAGTTGCAGAAGGGGAGAACACCAACCAGTCAGTAGGTTGTCGGAAGGAGGGGGAGGGGAAGCTAGAGGACGCAGGAGCGTGGGGCGGTGCAAGAGGGGTGTTAGCTAGCTCGTGAGCGCATTGGTCGACAATCGAAGAAGTCACGGAAATAAAGGTCGCGGCAATGATGACGGCATCTTTGGCAAACGTGATTCATCACAGTGAAGCCGCAACCTCCCCCCCTCCCAATCCGCCCGTGCCTCCCCCTCCATTCTCTTTAATTTTGCATCGCTTTCTCGGAATTAAAGCCAATGCACAGCTTGAAGAGACCCACCTGATTTTCCTGGCGGAGGCGTGCATTTCTCCCGTATCCCCACACCAGCACCTGCATGTCAAACATTGCAGTTTCTAAAGCACCTATTTCATATTTTCTCAACGCCTTACTTTTCTCGATCGAGGATAAAAGTGGTGTGTTAGTTAATGGCGCCACCAAATTTTAGTGAAACGCCATTTGTATGTGACAAGGCCACATTATCACAAGCTCACTGTTATTTCCAATGTCATCCTCACATACACCAACACAAACACCATGCTTACCTGGGCGCTGATCGTTACTATGGCCGAAAAATCTCACTCAGCCCACATAGGCACCGACTAACGTAAAGTGAAAATACTTTCGCCTTTGCTGCATTAGTACTCGGATGTGAGGGCAAAAATCCCAAAATCCCAAAATTCCAAAAAAGGGGGGACAAAATGGCTGTCAGATGGCCACACGATGCTGCGCACACGCAAGCAGTACAGCAAACTTGCACAGGCATTTAAGTAGCTACAGCTCTCATTAAATTTTAGTTCATTTGGCGGGCAAATTAATCGCGTGAGTAGCGGTAGTCAAAGCAGAGGTGGGGAGAAAAGTGAAAGTGCAGTGGTCAAGCCTCTCCCTCACTTTCCAGTTCCACATCAGTACAGTGTGCATGCTACCATCGTTCACTCTAATTAAGACCCGGCAGTAGCACTATAGCTCAGTGATTCGCCTGGTAATAATTGATGCGATGAAAAAGCGAACTACGTCTCCCATCAGTTGCTCCAAAAGACAGTGCTCTCAGAAGTTGCACCAGCTTTAAGAATACACCAATATACACGTCTGCAGTCGCTGCACTGTGACCGTTTTCTAGGCTGCAAGACCTCACTTTACTCTTAAGGTGAAACTGATAAATGCTTCTGTAATGCACACGTACACAGGGACACATGATTCATCAACCGCTTCGCAAGGCACTCTTCAGTTCTTTCCCCCAACTAATCCACCAATAAGAAAAGTGACATTAGGACGGAAGACCAAGGGATCATTCTCATCCATCCACAATGTAACACCATTCATACTTGATGACAAATGCATGAAAGTCTATCTCTTTCTTTCATATTCACATATCCTACACCTATTGGGGCCTTTTCCTAACACCTGTATTCTCACATGACTCATAAGGTCACTTTTTCTTTCCAGAATAGCGTTTTCCCCCTCCCCCAACCTCCTTCGCCTCATCTTCACAAAGCTGCCCGGACTAGGCATAAAAAGAACGACGATACGAGTGGGCCTTTTATGAGTCATCTCACTCTGCGGTCATTGGCCTGTCAGTGCTGGATATACATCGAGCAATGCTGATGGTGTGCATCGAATAAAGCGGCAATTTCAATAAGTCCGGTCACCTATGCATCAGCCAGAACAACGCGATGAATTTCAGGTTGCGAGACGCCGACAACGATTTGACCTCGTACACTCAACAGACTTCACTGCCTACTTTTATACTGGGGTGAACGAGGATTAGACAGCTCGACAAATATTTTGAGACACTTAATTTGCATATTCAGCGGAATTTGCTCCCTTTTGTAAACACTCAACCCTCCCCCTCTCGCTCCTCCTGTTCTCCAAAATTTGCCTTCGCCCAAAACAACCACGATCAAGTTGCCTAAGGGCTAGAGAAAATAGTTCCCACAGATTAGTCACCTGTTTTTCTTACAGAATAACATGCCAATACTTTGCGACACAGGATGCAACAGATGCATCGGTACGCGGGTCGGTCATTTTTCGGTTATTGCCCAACCACTGACCTGTTGACCCCTGAAGCTATGCCCTTACGTCATGCAGAAGGATCTATCTGGGGACTTTTACCGCCACAGGGTCGAGCTGAAACTACCTCACCGACCCTAAACGTGAAAGGCATTATTAATTAGACCTTCCCACTTTGGGTGGCAGTAGCAGAGGTAGAAGTGCACGACACTATTCCAATTAATTTCTTACCAACACCGGTACGGCTGACAATATTACTGTTGCTACCCCGCGTTACCGAATATACAGCTTTGTCACACTTTTCGCATGGCATGCATTTGAAATTCCAGGAAGCACGATGCAAACAAAACTGCACTGTTTTATGGCAAAGAATGCCAAATCCAGTTGGAGAAAAACGTGACAACACGGCGCATAGCAAACCATAAGGAACTATTGATATGAACTCTGAACCGTTAATTTTCCATTAAATTGCCTCGTGTGCAATGAACATTTGTGCTATCAAGACAGAAAATAAGCTAAATCTAGTTGAATTTATATGACGATGCAATATAAGGTGACTAAAGGTACCAGGAAATTGGTAAATGTAGAGCAGAATCAAATTTTGGGCAAAGTAAATTAAACGATCCTGAAAGGTTGTAACACTTCCTTGCCCGCAAATGCGTCAAATCAGCACTCTAGTTGCCTTTTAAACTAATCCAGGCTTAATAATACTTTTGGCTAGCTAAATGCCACTAACCCGGGGCACTGGGGCACTATTAGTGATGTCCAAGCTGCACAAAGTGGAAATCCTACCCTGTCGATCAAATCAACCCAGATTTGGTAAGTTATGGAAATAAGTTTGCTATGGAAGATTTGTTCTATTGAAACAGAATGTCGATCACGTCAACATTTGCATTTGATTTTCGATACAAGCCAGCTTTAAAATAGTGTACTAGTGAGGTGATATTCTGTAGGATAGTTATAACCATCCTGCACGGTCATATCACATCTAAACTTAACTTATGGTGATGTTAAAAGGGCGGAAAAAAATCTGCCATTTAGTTTTGAGTCAGCGGAATCAGGTCAGGGTAAATTGCTGCAGTCTAACAGTAGAAATATCAAATTACACTTTAAGCGCTGAAACTCCGAGTTTCGAGGGGAAAATACCAAATCCATATAGGCAAAGAAGCCGCACAGACTTTTAATCACCTATAAAAAGCAAATCTACTTAAAGCATGTGAAATATACTATAGGAACTGAGAAAGCCAGTGAGTCTACTGGTCGATTCATCGGAACGAAAGGGCTACGCGTATAAAGGAGAGGAGAGAAATGCACCGGGGTGATCCGAGACCAACCACCCGTGTTTATAATTGATTTCACGGCTTTGGTGGCCAGCCGTGGTGAGAGGTTTGGATCTGCACCTCGATGCAGAAATGCTATCTCCGAACAAAACCAACGTGTCCACAAAATTGGCACGTGAAAGAGGAGGCGGGGCGAGCAAGCGAGAAATATGAGATTCGATACACGCACCCTCGCACACGCAATCGCATACGTCCGCAACCACCACCTGTTACGGAACTTAAGTGTGTGTTCCGGGATTTGATACGAAAACCCAGAGCATGACCACGGAACATCCAATGTCTAACTAACTGCCTTCTCATAGTACAGAAGAAACTACGTACAAAGTAATCGTGCCAAGGCAGTACAGACGTCCAGCAGATGGTTGGATGAGTGATGACCGACCAACCTCCACTTTCGGGATTAACCTCTACTGAAATCAGTGACGCTGCCAGGGAGGGTGAGTCCTGTGTATGTATACATGTGTGGCAGGTTAGACTGCAGGTAGTCATTTGGTTCGTGAAGAATTGAGTCGTGCAGCACGCAGACACCACATAGCACACTTGATTTCATGCACTATCTTTATTTGTGCACGTATGGCATAAACGCATGGACGCTTGCGTTTGTGCGTTTAATTGTGCATACCTGAGAACCTTCAACTCACTTCGTATAAATAAACAGGTTGAGAGGAATTTTTCGTACCAAAGAAAGGATACTCACGCGATAATCTCCCCTCTCCCCTTTTCTCTCCCACAGAAACTAAGGCGGCAGTCATTAGCTTGTTACTAGCTCATTTTGGGCTATGATGAGTGGTGTGTAGAAGGGATTGCTTTTACAGTACAGACGAATTCGTATAGGCCAAACATAACTTATAATTACAGACAAGATTTCATCGTCGTGTAAGCATGCAGTGTTAACGGCCCACCGCCAACCATCACGGCCATAGACGACGCGCGTGAAAGGATTCCGTCCTTACCAAACAGTGGGGAGATGAAGCGGCAGTGATAAGCCACTACGATTGCCTTCACGACCTCCCCAGTTTAGCAGAAAAGAAATGGGATAAAACCGACTGCAGCCGTGGGGTTAGGAGTAAAAAACCAGACGGTTCACACCACACTACAGATGCGTAACCTTTTGGACAAACGGTAATTTACACCGAATTCCGTAGCGGTCACGTCATGGACAATAGTCACCCCCGGTCTGTGTGGAGACATGAAGGAGGGTATATACCACATCATTCTAGAGCAACGTAAATGCCACTGAGGTTTTGTCCGGTCCAGGGTTTGTTTCCTTCTCCCTACTCCTCTTGACAGAATTTGAAGCACCACACAGGTAAGCTGTCATAGCAACCACGGTGTGCGCGTGCGTGTGTTTGTTCCTCTAAATCCCAACTGTTGCCCTCATCGTCAGTTGGTGCACCAGGGCGGAAGGGAGGAGGGGTAGAGGCCGGGCGTTACCAGTTTGAGAGAAAATTGGAGGAACTCGCCCTCTCGAACTGTGTGCACGCATATGTTCGTGTGGCAGACAAGACGAATGGAGAGCAGCTGTTGGTCTGACACCGGGTGCTAGCTATTCTGTGGCGCAGATTTTAACTGAGGGAAATCTTAGTCACCATTTCTCTTGCTCTAGACGCTCTCCTCCCCATCGCCCCAACTTTCTAATCCCGAATTGCCTAATCAGTGACTAAAGGCGTGAAGTGACACTACACTACCTTTTCAGTACCGCTTGTCAGGAAGCGGTGGTTTTGACAATTTACTGAGTATATCAACCTATTCTTTTACCAAAATGCCGCCCACGCTGAAGTTTGTAAAGTGAGTTCTAGTCTCATCCAGCTGAGGGCCAGAGAAGGGTTCAGGCTGATCGATATTCATCATGCTAATCATTAATCGATAGTGGAGTTAGGCGTTAGCAGCAAAAACCCCCACAATGGCACACGCCCACACACACACACACAAGCACAGCTCTATCAGAAGCACGGGTGATAAATACCCAGTCTTGATACAAGGTAGATGAGAAAGAAATGAAGAGGCATCCAGTCGATAAATGAATGGAGAGAAGGTAGGGAGATGGCACGGGTGAGTGACTAGGCACAAACACGTCAAATACAATTTAACGTAAACTATGTTGAAAGTTTATGTGCAAAGTTTCAATCCATCAAGTCAAACATGGAACAATCCGACTAATGGGCGTCGTTAGATGCCCAAGTACTTGATCTTATTAGTACGATTAACCAAAACGTTAAAAAAGTAGGCAGCAGTCTTCTAACCTACTTAATGAAATCACTGGTGACACAAGAAGTCAGAAGACTTTTCAGTTCCACAACTGTTATAACGATGGGCACGGTAAAAGTTTTAGGATATTATATGCCGGCAGACAAATAGATGTGGGACAGTTAAAAATGATAAAATAACCTATTAACACAGAGAAAATAAAATTGGACTAAACCACCAAGCACCAAAAGCAAACAAATACGAGAATTATTAAGAAAGGTAGGCACTCACATAGACTGAAAAAGAGTTTGGAAGAATTTAGAGGTTGGTGTGGATACATCCAATAACCATCACGGCAGGAAGAAACCGCACCCAACCGTTTTGTCAATAATGTTAGAAAATATGGTGCCAACACATCCGACGCCTGAGGGAATCCGTTCTCTATCGAAGGTGGTTATCGTTTAGCGGCGCTCCACTGGTCAGAGGTCTGTTGAGCTGAGAGCACATTTTCAATTGGTAGGCACGTGGTGAATACTGACAGCGCGGTGCCTAATTGGTTGCAGCAGGAAGCCAATCATAAGCGAGTAAGGTCGTCAGCTTAACCTATGTGGGTCTGCACGCACGCGCATCATTTGCAAACTTTCCTTTCATCAATGATATTGTAAAAGTGGGGGGAAAACCCAATCCCGGAAACGCAAAGGTTTTTTGTAGAAGGGGGATAAACATTCCACTTCTAATTCGTTGTTGAGCTTTGATGTGGTACTCATTTCTAAAGGGTGGACATATAATCATGATGCCAAACTGGTGCACTCGGCTGACGTTTACACTTTCAGAGGATTAAGACTTACAACTGCGTCTATCTATCAAAAGCTTCAAATAGTTGCAAATGCTTTATTTAAATTTTATGAAGTGATAGGTCAGTACTGTAGGCCGAGTTTGGTTCACGACACCAAATAAGGGAGTGAAAGCCTTGGTTTTTCAGTCTCAAGCTTAACTGCATCATGAAATGAAACTAAGAATAGCTGTTTCTGAATTTCACGTACATGAATCTTTTCATTCTAAATTAAAGCATTTAAGACTAGGATCTCTATTTTAAGCATGCTACTCTGAAACTGAGGTTATACTTGACCGCAGATCAAGGAGATCCCATCTCTGTTTATTGTTTCCGATTCAGCAAGTCTGTCTACGGCAGCAGTTGTCATGACCTGATACATACACGTCGCATTTGTGACGCCAGACTCAGGTGCCAAAATGGGAGCAACACAAGCGTGTGATGCTGGAGTCGAACGTGTTAAAATTAAGCCTTGAAAATTAGCAAGGTTTTATCCAAGTTTCAGTAAGTGAGTTAGAAACGCAAAAATTGAGGCTCAATTTTATCAAAATATGCATTCATAATTTTTTTGGTACTTCATATGAATGCACGAACTCTGAAGGAAAAGTTGGTTGGCAATAAACCAGTAAGCATGGATGAAGGAAAATATCGAAATTAAAGGTAAAAAAAATCAAACTAAACCACACAATATCCACACACGTATTCGCTGTTGATTTTAGTTTTTATGGAGGGGTGTACAGCCTGGGCTGAGATCATGAGGCACAAGAAAACTAACATCGCAAAGAATAACAAACCTAGAGACACCATATTTTAACGGAACAATTACAAGTAATATCACGGTTCCATTTGATCTAGCCAATCAAAAGCGATGAATAGGAGAAAAAGTATATTTCTCACCTACTCGCTCACTACCCACCGTTGAACGTGCAGCTTTGATTCATCTCAGTGGAACTCTAGCTTGTTTTTGGTTAGCAATGAAAGAGTTTGCATTTCAAGGGCAAACGATAAAAATTAATGCGTAAACAAAGTGGGCAACCGTTCACTCAGTGTTTGTGAACCTGGAGTTCCTAACACATTGTCCCTTCACTGAGCCGAAAAGGTCTAGAATTAAATTAAAATATGTATGAAACTATACTTTATCTGAAAGGCACCCTTAGCGTAATTGTAAATCTCGGGCTTCAAAATAACAACTATCTCACAACGGAGTATTACGGCAATAAACTAAACAAACTTTCTAGCTTATTCTACTAAGACAAACACCTAATTCACATAGAACAGAAAGTGAAGAAAGATAAAAGCAGCTACAACAGCCTATTTTTCTGTAAATATTTAAATAAGAGCAAGAACTTTGCCGGCCAGATTTCGTGTCATGCAAGACCTAGTTACAAAGGCTCTCAGGCTATTCTTTCGCGAAGATGGGACTTTGGCTAAAAAAAGTAAGGCCCGTTTCTTAAGCCGTGCTTTCCGCCTACAGCTCTGCCGATTGAATTTAACTTCGTCATTAATGAAATTGACCAAAATGTTGTCTTAAATTTAAGGGGTTGCTACAGTTTTAATGGGGTACTTGTTTCAATTCGTTAAAGTTGTTCGCGTAATTTTGTTAGAAATTTTTCAAACGGTAGAACAGGATACGGAAATAACTCGTATTAATTAAATGAATTTGTTGACAGAATGTTAGTGGTACGATTCTCCCCTAAAATAGAGTAAATTCTACATGGTTTTAATCCAAAAAAACTAAAGAAAATACGTAAAAGGTAAGTGCTGCAGGAGAGACACAAGTAATTCCTTTTTTCAGAAGATAAAATCTTTCTTAACAAGCAAGTATCGGATAGTGCACACAATGGGCATGATGCCTGGTGGATCATCACAGCAGAAAGATCTTGATAAATTTTGCAGTGTGATGCTGAATCCTCCCATCCCTCCGTGCGATTTATATACGGAAAGTGGTTTGATGAGAAAGCAAATAGGAGAGGCAGAGGTGGTGAGATAGCAATTCGCGCAGGTGTTCCCAAATACCTTATCTTCCCTTAATACTGATTCGAAAGGAAGCAATGTTCTACTCCACGAAACGTAATACCTCATGGTGATAACGGCCTGGAAACCGGACTATGAAGGCAATAATCTTGTCTAAGTTATATGCAAAATAAGAAGTGAATTTGAAGAAAATCATGCTGACAATTTATTTCAAAAATAGAATTAAATGACAGTCACGGCTCAAATTTTCAACTGCATGAGTTCACGCCCACCCCAAATGCTTGGCAAAACGCATTCAAATTGCTCACAAATTGAAAAACATCAGGTTACTTGTAAACAGACGACAAAGTCTTTAAAAATTGTCACCACAGCCTTCTTAGTTGATGCTGTTTAACAGCACGGATATACACTTTGGACTACTGAGATCAGCCCAATTTTCGCGGATTTGTAGTACATAAAACTAAATTTTTAAGCGGCCAATCACAAAAATAATTCCCTTTCCTATTTCAAATTACAAGAGTTGAATTACCAACTAATTCTTTTTTATTCAGTTTTATTGCCTATACTACTCGATAATATTAAACTTTAACATTTTCTTCTAAATTTGGCAAAAGTGCAACTACTGAACTTTATACTTCGCACTTACTTCCCACAAAATTCGCATTTTATACGCCTCTCCATATATTTAAATTTAAGGCTGCACTTTTTGATTCCCGCAATAAAATAAATTTCTGCTATTTGCATGCTTTCTTTTTACTTTTTTTTACCGACCTCGAATTCAACAGTGACCCAAAAAAAGTAGAAATAGCCAGACGTTAAAACTGTCTGTCAAGTTTTTCGCTATTCGAAGTCTTTTGTTAAAGGCCCTTTCAGGCTTGCATGAATGGCACTGCTTTTAAATTTTTAGCCTATTTCCACGCTTTTGCCTGTTCGAGGTTCCAGACACCGTTTGAGTGAGTTTTTGCAGAAGCTAGCGCCCTCGTTTACAGAAATTCCAAACTGTTTGGAGCTACAGTTAGCATTGATTCCCTCACTGAGCATATGAGAATGGCATGTCTTGCATCTTGTTTACTTTCTCTATCTTTTGCAGTTGACGTCTGGTACTCAGATATCTATCAAAATCCCTTAGCTGTTTGTCGTTGATTCACCAGCAATTAAAGACGTCACCGATGCCTGATGACTGCTCCCTAAACAGCACAGGGGAAAGTGACATTTAGTGGAAATTTACACAGTGTTTTCCGCTGAGGCTATTCTAGATAGGGTTGGAGCCTCTTTAAGAGCATTTCCATTGTGCTTTTCGTAGAGTTATGGAATCGGTGTTGGATAGCGCAACCTGAAATTCTTGCCCTTGTAGCTTGAAGCCGACTTGATTAGCAGATTGGATTGAATGAAAATGTACCTCCTTTACCTAATAAATGATAGGAGGAAAATAAACAGGGAAAGGCTGCGCTAATATGAATCACTGTTAAAAAGGCCACTGATATTGTGTGCGAATGTTCATATTGCATTTCGGCTAAGAATTTTTGTAGAAATCGGAGCCGAGACGATATCACTCCGCTATCAATCATTGAAAAAAGCAACTACGTACTTCTGATTGATGCTGCCATTGGCACGTTTTATGATATGCGAATCTGACTACCACCAATTTATCCACTTCACAAATCAGGATTAGATTGCAGTGGCTTGCCTTACTAAACGTGTTTCCTTACACTCAAGATAACTGAGGTGAACACTAGGTATTCCGTTTCCCCGGTTTAATATTAGAGCCATACCTGTGTGACATCTTGATTTCTCCCTATGAGTTTGGCATCATAAGTATGAGACATGTTGTTTATCAGTTCATGATAACAGTAGTTGCACAAGCCATTTCGACTATATTTTTTAGGATAATAAGAATAAATTGATGCAGGATTTTCCTAGGATATGAAAAGCTACATTTTTATTTTCTAAGCAGCAGTTGAATTAGTCAGTTCGTACGAAATTAATAAAGCGATTAAGGGACGGCCCACTGAGTAAACGCTTCAAAAGCTGTCACGAAAAACGGCTGTTTAAGTTGTCTCCAAAAGCGATTTGTGTTTTGTTTTCCAGTTCTAATGTAATTAATCGCATTCCAGTGAAATGTGTCGCATATAGGTTACACAAGGAAAAAGAATTCTTCATGGATAAGTCAGCGTATCATGCGTCCATCAGCTCAAAAACACCTATTACATTAATTTAAAAAGTTGCAGAAATTCTATAAAATTTGTGACAAGGCCAAATCAGCAAAATGTCGGTGTACTAGTGGTCGATTTTTCTCTCAGATCCTGGTTGAGAACACATTCAATGTATTTTTGCATGGAAGAGGGATAAGAAGTGGCAAGCTTGAGTGTTATGATCGGATACTTTATACAAGAGCATGATTTTCTGGCCGTTACAATGAATTTATCAACTCCTAGCTACTCTATGACATAAGAGAAATACATAGAAGCCCATTTTAAATTGAAAAAAAGCTACCAAATTTTAGTTTATTAACTTTTTTTTTGCGTAATTGGTACCAATAAAATACTTGCAATAAAATTTTGTGAACATAAGTTAAGAATTATTTCAATCAAAGGAATTTAAACGAAACAAATGAGCCTCTTTGTTTTTCACCCTAATGCAGTGCACACAACAAAGTGCCTCAACTTCCGCAACCTCTCCAACATTGTTAATTCAAACATCCGGCGGGCTTTTTTTCCTCAGATAGGTAAAATAAAAGCGTTAAAGTATCAGCTTTGCCCGCTGGAACTCTTCACCTTACATGTTAACTTTGAGTCATCGTTATTTATGGGTTGCTTGTAACAAATGCTGCGATTCCACTGCAGGAGTTGAAGCCTTTTTTCCCACCTCGTAGCCTTGCGCCAAGGCGTGCGGCCACACACAAGCGAAGTGGAAAAACAGATAGTCGCTTTGCATTGGAACAGAAACGGAATTTTTGTCTGGGAGAGATTTATGAGCGTTTATGTGCCTATCTTTTGAAAATATCCTAGGATGAGCATTTCTGAAAAAAAAAAAGTATATTCATAACGCGATACCAGTGTACAGCGCTAATCCGGTAGCGCTAAGTTCCTGATAACTATTTTAGTGGCGGCGAAACTCAGAGAACTTCCCCCACGGTTGTTTTTGCCCATGTTGGTTGGAGAGTCCATTTAATAGGCATTAGAAAGGGCTTAGGTACAAGTGCAAAACAAAACCCCTCTCATTCTTTGCTACGTACTTTTAGTTTAGACTGGAAAGGCTGAAATCACAAGAAGCCAGTTATTAGTGCAGACGTAAGGAGCAAAACTAATCGTCTTAATAGAGATTGATTTTGGATCTTAAAATGTACATCAAAACTTAAAGCGGTAAATAAATTTGCAAAAAATGTTCCATATAAGTGTCATTAGCTCAAATTTTAACATGGTGCGTTTAAATTCCTGTATGATCTATGCTCCTTTTGCGAGTGAAAGCATCTAACTCAGAGAGCCATACATCAGCAATACATTTCAGTCACGAATGCCTAACTTTGCTGTCGTTAAATAGCAAATGGTATTTTAGAGTTGCAATAATATCCAATTCAATGAAATGTCAAAAGGTGAAGTAGAAATCATTAAATATGAAATCTGGAATAGCCGAATGTCAGGGTCAAAATCAATTAGGATATCAGACATCAGTTATCCAAAATAGTTTTAAATCGTCTATTAAGTGATGAATGGGCTCTCTGATGGAGGAAAGATCCTTGGTAGAAAGGTGAATTCGTATGGGAACGGGTTACTCAGCAGAGGTATAAAGTGCGATAACATGAATAACTCGAGTGCTAAAAAATGATTCACCAGAGAAAATAAAACAAACAGGAAGCTTTTAATAAACTCAAGGAAAAAACAGTTTCTGAACTGTTTACTAAATTGCCTCCGCAGTGAACGGATGGTTTGCTGATCCATCGCCCAATGGCTGTTCAACTCTTGTTACTAGCGTAAATTCTATTCCAGAAATTCGAACTCAATCTACAAAGAACTTTAAAATATTTCCGCCCAAAATGCTTCCAAAAGCTGATCCAAAAACAATCAAACGGCGAATTAAAGGTTCCGTGCCCATGGAGCAAAGTTCGACTGCAGAGTAGGAATAAATTGGGTGCCGTAAATTTGCGTAGGCGTGGCGGCAAAATATCCGCAAAAATAATTCAAAGGTTGTGTTCTTCAAAATTAACTTAATTTCCTTAACTGAATTTGCTTCTCCAAATGTATGTAGTACTCCTTTTATTCATTAGGAAATAATGAGTAATACGGGCATAAGCAGTCTGGTTCTCTTCATAAAGAACATCACAAAGGAAATATCTACCTAAAGTTTTATTTTTGAGCTAAGTATAAAACGAGCACTTTTTTCCTCAAGTGACAAAGAGATCCATCTGCCTATTTAGCAATTATTAACGCTACCCTCTGCTTTAGTATCTTCTGGAAAATTTCCGCATGACTAATTCCTGTTGAAAAAAAAAACAAGGCGATATGAATACTATGAGTGGAGAGGTATTGTGCTTATTAAATTAGTTGCTTAGATACTTACGGAAAATAAAGGAACATATCCGGGGCGTGAGAGATGAATTTTTCAAACTTTCAGCTCTTTCCGGAGTGAATTGCTATGGTATTTATACCAAAAAGTCATAGAAGTAGAGAGAAGTAGTTGGCATAAAACACGCCTGAGGTATGCAGATATAGGGATATGACTTAAAAGCGTCATGCAAACCTAATTGTTAAATGAATAGAAACTTGAAGATCATAATAAAAGTGAACTACGATCAAACTCAGAATAGAGGAATATTATTAATATCACCGAATCTAGCGCCATTGGGACTCGGTCACTAGGATGCCTGAGTCTTCCATGATTGTGGGATTTCAGGTGATTCTGAAGACACAAGAATCCAGTGGTAACTAGCATTGGCATCGACACGAGCTAAAGGACAAAAAGCCAGGTTTTAGTCCGAAATACAGAAGACTAGAATGGTCCTCGGTGGTAAAATATACCCATCATGAAAATTCCATTTTGTCACACCCACATCAACCTAGCACAAATCACTGCTCACCTGCCAAAGGTATACGGACAAAGCAGGGATCTCAAGAACCGGAGGTTTCTTTTTACTCGAATAAACGGACAGACAATGGGGTGGGGATGGGACAGGCGTGTCCATCATCAAGGGACAGGTGAGTGTGGTTACCGCTGTAGCTGAGTCAGACACACACGTCGTGTATATGTCCATTGCTTTACACTTTGGCCACAAATTTGGCCTTCTCATTGATCCTATTGTCGGCAAACTAATGTGTTTAGTCTTGGCCACTGCCATTAATTAGTGAAGCATGCAAAAATTACTAATTGTGTATTAACTACAGCAGTTGTTTAGATATAGAGTGTCGGGCGCCAAATTAAATTTGACCAAATATGCAGAAAAAAGGGGGTTTTGGGGGGGAGGGTTGGAGAATAAAAGATAATAAAACTAGGAGGAATATTCCTAGTGATTTTCAATGCTTGTGAGTTAGGGTAGTTCAGTCGATACAGCTAGGTGAAAACAGAAAGTTTTACTTCCTGAGTCTACGTTGCGCTATTAGTTCAAATCGTGGTCACCTGAGGGCTGGTTTTGTGAACTTGAGTGGCAAATGACAACCTCTCACAGCCTTATCAAATTGTTTGCAACGCAACGAACCGGTGAAGTGGAGGGATAAACTTTTATAGAAACGAACTTCTCACCTTGTTACATAAACGCGCAGCAAATTCATTATCGCTACTCTTACTAAAAGACGTTCTGTTAGTTGATATAATCAACATGTTTACTCCGTACCAGTTTGACAAAGGAACTTATTCAAAAAAGTTTTGATAGTCGGCAGTTTCAGTGCGATGGCCAAAAAGAATAATTGAACTTGGTTTATAATTCAACATTGTATCATAATGACAAGGAAAGGCAAGCTTCAAACCTCAATCTAGATGTCCAGCCTTTCAACCATCGCTGATTTTTATAAAGGCAACTACAACTGTCACCGCTGCTAAGTAAAGCGCAGTTTTAAACAAGTGTAGCCATGTCTACCGCTACTTTCGGCTCATCATCATCACTTTCACAACTCAAGTCATTAGTGCAACTTTTTTAAGCAGTTTACATTAGAATAAAACGCGATTTCATACGTCACCTTAATTTCAGAGATCCACTAAAATGGACAATAATCAAGAATCAAAACCTGCGTCCAAATGTTAGCTATAGGCTAGCTGCGCGTTTCCTTGATACAAAGGGACAAAAAGTGGAAGAAGGAGATTTTTAAAAGAGTGGATTAAAAAGTGAGAAGTATTTATTTATGTAGACGTTTCATAATGATGCGCTTACATTTTTTCCAGTTAGGAGCCATGGACCAATATCTCTCAGGATGCATGAACTGGTCATGTAATCAAACTTTCTTTTCTTATTCATTCCAATGTTGATATGAGGCTTTTTATTGGGGATCAGGAAAATGTTGTAGGCTATTTACTTAAATTAAGATGATTCTCATCTAATAATCCTTTTTCACAAATGTTATTACTTACAGGAAACAAGAGGTTGAAACTCATTTAATTTCAATAGTAAACACAAGTAGAGGAGTGAGTTTTCTAAGAGTATCCACGATAATTTCCATGAAGAGCTTTGGCACGAATATAAGGATGTGACATAAATAAATCGATGGTTGGGTTTTGGATTCCAAGTCCAGTGTGACGCGAAGGAAGTTCCTTTCATTTACACCATCTAAAGCTAAACAAAGAGTAGAGCATTTTTGTAGAGAGAAAAAGGATGACCTGTTCTAAAGTTAATTGAAACAAATACACCTTGTACAATCGTGGAAAACATGTAAACTTTAGCAATTTCGGCTAAGTCTCAAAACCTACTATTATAATGCTCGCTACTTCATAAGTTTTATCCCTATCTCGAAGGCTAAGAATAAAAATCAACATGATAACGGTTAAAAAGTTACTTCAAAGTTATTGTAATCAAAAAGATCCAGTACTGATCAACGGAGGAGCTGTAATATAGCAGTTCACGTAAGTCAGATGCACAAGACAGTAACATTCTTTGCCGCCCCAACGTGAAAAAACATTTTTGAGAACTATCAGTTTCTTGTTCCTCTTCAAATAAACTATGAACGTGCATTTATAGGGTTAAGTGAATTAAATTGAGCAACATTTTTATGCAGTAAACCAGTCTTGAAATAGTCTGTGTTGCCTGAATGATGGACATTTTGGATTATAATAAATAGCAAGTGCATATGCTTTATGATCGCTGCTGATATCCTCTGGGTTGTTTTGAGATAATATCTCTCTTAAAGTATGAATTCCTCAGCGAAATTACAAGCCTTGTGGGTCGTCAACCATACACTGTTCAAGTGAGCTTGACATTAAATCAGAGTAAAGCCTACATCCCTAAAAAAACTGTCCCTCTAAGCGTCTCTACCATATTCCCTCTTAGGATCTCAGAGGGAGATTAAGTACCACAGCCCGAATATTTTACTGGTTCAAGATAAAACCAAAAATTTGGCTACTGAAATTACCTGTTTAAATACTGTTTATAATCCACAAATGCAATTGTCCTTAGACTAAGGAGTTTATGCATCTATTTAGCTATTCTAAACTCATGCAAGTTGAAGCACCAAGATCTTTAGTAAGCTTACGAAAATACCTTACTTTTTGTAGCTATGGCAGTGACTATGCTGAATATTATCTCAGGAATTAACCATGCATAAACAAATAATTAGACAAAGTACGAATTAAATAAAATATGATTAATCAGAGATACTTTAAGGTTTTTGCATGAATAAAAAGCCCTAAATTTAGATAGACCTATTAATAAAAGGAATCAAATCTTCATAAGTAATTTGTTATATGGGGAAATATGTTTATTTCCAATTCCAATGTATTGCTTGAAAAAGGTAATTCAAATAATGAATTTGTCAGACCATGAATTCCTGTTTCCGTTAACGCATATATTAACAGCCCACGGACAAGGTGATCTAGAGCGCAAATAGCAATGGCAGTCAAAGAGGGAACGATTTTCAAGTCAACTATCCTACAACGCTCAGATAGATATGGAATTTAACTATTTATAATGCTGACAGGTAAACAGTGATGCGGATTCGAGGGAAAAACTGCAATTTATTAAGGGTGACAAGAGGAGTACATTTTTGACATTGAAAGTAATGAAATTGAGGTGAAAATTTATGCCCCATATTTACTCTGCTGTCAAAATGGGAGAACACACCAACTGACATTATCGTTATCTTCCATGATTGTGAAAGTGGACCATTAAGATAAAACCTTATTCTGAATTACAGAATTAGGGCAAAAAATTAGATGAACGCTGTCATAGTAAGCAGATCCTATCTTTCGGACATGTCAGAAGATTTAGCCACGGCCTGATCCCAATGCAGGTCAGTATGTGTGTGGATGGGGTAGCAAGTGAGAGGCTGACTTTGTTTATGCCCACGAACAATGGGCGCATCCAACACAAGACATTTATGGGGTATCACCTCCGCATAACTGCAACACTTTGTTAAATCAGATTACTGGCACTTTTATAATCAGACACAAAATACTTCATTATCAATGAAAAAGGGACTTACAAACTATTGTTCAGGCAAAAAAGTTAGGAGAGTCTTGCACAAAATAATAATGAAATACCTTTAACACTGGCATTAGAAGTATGACCCTCGTTGTTGCCTACTGAATCGTCACAATGCACCAGATAATGATTACGGGGAACGGCAATTACAATGAGGCAAAGTCAGTGGAAGTGAATGACATTATGTCTGATGATAAACACGAAAACACAAACCTTTGGCTCATGCAATGGTGGCACAGATCCAGTATCATTAGGGCTTCAAGAGAAATAGGGATACTCCAAAACTTGAAATGGGGGAATTGGCAGAATCAGGTGGTGACTGACAGAAAGTTGAAGTTATTGTCATGTTGATGATTTTGAAGGATAGTAAGATTGGAGCAGGATATATAGGAATAACCAAAATTTATTTAGAACACTGTTTTCTAAAAAAGCCTTTTATAAAGTGTTTTCGTTTATGAGCTTTGAAAAAATGGGGGGAAATAGCAAAAAAATGCTTGTTAATTTTTGGCTACACAACATCACCTGTACTCTACCGTTTTAAACGTATACGCCCAATCCAGTGTTCTGTTAACTCTCATTCGACGAAATGAGTGGGTTGAATCATGATGCAAAAACAGTGAAAATTCAACAGGCCTGATCAAAGAACTGACTAGAGCTCGGCTCTTAAGCTACAGAAGCTGGTTTCCCGTCAACTTCGATGTAGACTGCTTCCAGTTGATGCGCTTTACCGTAGCAGGACGCATCACACAACAGCTACCTAAAGAGGTGACGACGGTGATGAATCAATGTTGATTTGTTGATGCATACTGTAACAGGTTAAGCAGTGAATGATCAAATGAGGAGTTGAGTCGCTATTTACACTCTAATTCACCTCTGACTTGACAAGAGCACCCATTCATGTCTCAAGGGAATGTTGAAATTACTCGTTCACGCACGCATTGTCTGACTACAAAATTCACAGAATTAGGTGATCAAGTGGGTGACACATAGCTTGACTTAGGAGACAACAAAAACCTTGAAAGAGTGCCAGTACGCTTTCACA